AAAATAATTTTACTGAAGTTGTGTAATTGTACACAAATAATAACTGAATTTAGGAATTAATGTAAACTGAAGAAAAAGCTAGTTAAAGCTAGATGAAATAATTAATGCTTTTATTAAAAAATTGTGCTAGACAAATATCATTGATGTTTAATTGAAATACGTTAGAATATCTTGAAACTATAAAGACTTTTAATAATTAATTATCTTAATGAAATTGCAGAACAATGCATAATTCAAAACAAAATTTAATATTATAAATGGAAATAAAGAAATCATCATTTCTTCATAGTTCATTTTTCTCCGTATAAGAAGCTCCCCAACAAACTTATATCCTATTTCACCCTGAAAATATATTCTTTAATACAGTAATCTCTTACTGAAAAAAAGTTATTATTATATGAAGCATTAATATTTAAATCTTTAACATATTTATCAAAACAGTTAATTCATCTCAGTTTTCAATTTTTGTTTTGCCGATTCCTTCTTGGTTTGAGCACAAGCATTTTTTTTTCCTTATTTTGAGGGCATTTAAAGAGTATGCATATATTATTTCATTTCTAATATCTTAACATGCTTGGCGATGCCTAGTTCCGTTTATAGTTGCTATAATATAATTTTATATTTCATTTACTTGGATATCGACAAATAAGCTTATTTAAATGAGCTTATGTTGTTATTTATATTTTATTTTCCATCTGTTTCGCAGTTATAAATGTATGACGTATAAATGCTGCTATCATTTTAGTAGAAAATCTCGTAGTGCTTTCATTTTATAAGTTTACTTCATCGTCAACATTTCACTTTAGCGAAATTTATCACGCACTGGATATTCTGATCTCGCTCTTTATATCCAGAAAGAGTCAAGCTACAATTTACCTCGAATATTACGCATTTACTAACACCTGTAGATTAAGAGAATTCAGTTGTATATTTTTTTTATTGAGCTGGGAGTAACTGGAAGTGTTACAATAAATCTAGTATTTTCTTATCTTAATGCTTGCATTCCTTTGATTTTGAAAGTGAAAGAGTCAAAATATATGTTGTAAATGATCTGATTATACCTGTTGTTAACATTAAAATTTATACATGAATAAATTAAATATATTCAAAAATTAAAAACAGTAGTAATAATAATCTTTGTGAATAAGATAAATTCATTCTGTTTGAAGAGTATTTCTTGTGCAAACAATACATTTAATAGCGAACAGTTATTAATGTGAAATTTAACACACTGTATGTGTGTGTCTATAAATGTGTAGGAATGCAAATTTGGAAACTTCATTTTGAATAAAAGTGTGCATTGGCTATTATTATGCACCTTTTTTATATAGACTGCAATAAAAAAGTGCTAAGCCTTTTACATATATCATTATCTACATATATAATTATGCTTATATTTGATGTAATTTGGCACTGAAAATTTTCATAAGAAATGCACGATGCTTTAATTATTTTGTACACGGAATTGCGTATCAAAACATTCTCAACCATCTCGCTTAAGAGCGCGGCAAAGATCATGTGAAATTATATAAATATTACTGAAAGCCCATTGATCCATTTTAGAACCCCTCCCTTGGTGGCGATACAGATGTGCACTTACGAAATATGCTTACATGACCACTAACCTTATTTATAACTGATTTTGTAATAATAGGATGTAATTACCTTGCATCGTTTAAAAAAAAAATGTTAATTTGTTGCTTTGCAATCACGTCACTAAATTTTATTTAATGCAGGAATATTGCCAGTTATGATGCATTTAAAAGATTTGGAGGATACTGAGTTTTAACTTCGAATCCGTATTGAAATCCTTTACTGTTTAAATGATTAATGATTACGGTTTATTCTAAGTACGAAAGAATAAACCGAGCTGTTTATATAATGTTAGAAAAATCGGGAAGCATATATTTTCACTTTTCCGTAAAGAGCAATAGCAAAAATCAGCAAATCTTTTGCTCTATAAAAGTCCTGTCACCGTTTAAAATATTAGATCGAACGTTGTTTCTTTTGGAGTTATAAACTGCTCCCAGATTTAAATTTTTAAATATTATCGAGGAAACTCATTTTTTCCCGGAAAAATGAAGGATGAAGCGGGAATCCTCTGCTCAAATGGCGCATGATTACTTTTCCAGTTCTTCGGATGATAGATTTGGGGTCAATGAAAAATTTTCCAGTCTTGCTCAAAGTGAATATCGATAATTTAATCGATTCTAAAGATCATCGTCCCCACTCCCTTTCACGTTTAATTAATAAAACGTTCTGTCCCCACATCTCCTTTTCCCCTTTTTCTTTCCCCCGACCGCAAAAGTCTGATTTTTCAGCTGAAGCAGATCAACGGCATTCACGCACGAGAAAGCATTTTCATTTTACGCTGGTGTGATTTTTAACGTGAATGTCCAATATTGCGTGAGTAGGTAATTATGGATCTCAAATATTGCGCTATTTTATAGAGATGAGTTTTCAAATAAAAATAACGGTTAAAAGACGTAATAAAAAAAGATCGATTGCACGCTATGTGCTAGATTTATATTTTTAATATTCAAAAAAAGGAGAACTTCAAAATGCTGTGTTTTATCTGTAACATTGCACCGTGTTTTGTTGATTAGGTGTGCATATGGGTTCAGAAATAAATGAATAAAAGTTTCCAATATGTTTAGGGGAAAGTGTTAGTGGCAAGCTGTATATGAATACCAAACTAAAATACTAACAATAATTGTCGAATTGAAAATAATTACTATGATCATTTTCAAAATTTAAACACTTGGTAAATTTATATATCATATTTGACTTAATATACCATATAAGCTAATTTCCTTTCCTCTGAAATCATCCTGGATACAGGACTGTAGTTAGCAGAGAATGACTTCAAACTCGAAACTAAGGATACGTGTTCGGATCCCGTGTCAGACTTGATTGTAGTGTGGATCCTCTCCCCTTTGAGACTGCTAAATAATGAATGTGTTCGGCTAGGCTCTACGAATGGCTTAAACGAGCTTCTGACTATTGAAGGAAAAACAATAATTTATTTTTTATCATTAAACATTCTTAATCTCTTTAAAATGCAAGTTAGACATTTTCAGTTCGTCTTTTCCAATCAAGATGTAATCTTTTAAACCTTATTCTTTGTGAATTAATAGAAAAAGCCGAAAGCTTAAGTTATCACTAAAGGGAAATTGAAATTTTTTTATAAATTTTTTTGGGATTCTTGTAATTTAGATTGAACTTAAAATTACAATCTAATTTTCAATAAGTTATGTCATTCCCGCGACCGGTTTCCCGCCACCAAGTGGTTAAGACCTCTGATCCGGTTTCGAACCCAGGCGAACGCGCTTGCTTCTTTGATGTTTTACGTGGTTTTTCTCATGTGTAACGTAAACACGAATCGTTTTAGAAAGTCCTCCACGAAGGGATTCCTCCTTAAGCAAATAGCTCTCATGTGCTTTGCCATATCCAAACAACCTAAGCTAATTTAACCCACAAGTTGTGCGAAATAGTGCTGCAGTATAATATTTGTTAGGTAATAGAGCTCAGAGACATGTGGGTAGGCAAGTTCATCTATCTTATTTACTCTAGTAAAAATAGAAAAATTTGTCTTTATCTTACTTTCAGACTAAGCAAGTTCACTTATCTTATTTACTCCAGTCAAAATAGAAAACTTTTCTTTATCTTACTTAGTTTTCATAATCATTCTGTCGCTTTCGAAAAAAGTAGAATATTAACTTATCATACAAGGTAATATATAGTCTATTGATATCTTTAAATATACTGTGCCAGTTCTGTAAGTGAAGAACTACCAGTTATGTTCTGCATATTGAATTGCTTCAGTAGGATTAGTAACATCAACAAAAATCATTTTCCACTTAAAAGCAATGATATCTTTTTAGAGGCGATTAGCGACTTAGCATATTTTTAAAAGTAGTACAATACGAGTGTCGCTGTCTGGCCCAGTAACTAAAATAGGCTTTTACTACTTTATTTTTGTTGTAAAATTTTCATGAAATGTTTCTACAGTTAATGAAAAAGAAGGGATTGCATTAACAAAAAATAAATGTATTTGGATAGAAATTTATTTCAGCTTTCATAACTTTTTAATTTATATTAATAATTGAAGAAAACAAATATTTTATTACTCTTTCCTGTATATGTCATTTTATATTCCCACATAAATAATGAAAAAAATCTTAGCGTGACTTAGCGAAAGCTGTGCAAATAACGGCTACCGGACTATCTACTTGGTACCATTTTTGGGGGTCTTTCTGAGGTTTTATGTGAGGAAATAACTAAATATCGCAATATGTTTTTAATTTTTTTTCTTTGTCATTGACATCTGTAACTATAATGTTCCATCTCGCCTTGGTCGATATGATGTTTAATGCGTCCAGTTGGTATAGTGGTTAACAAAGAGTAATTACCACGCCGATGGATTTCAAGCTTAGATAGGGCATGGAAGGTTGTAACTGTTGTGTCTTTGTGGAAAGCAGACGCTTTAAAACTGTCAGTCCCAAACACATCTTACAAAGCTGGTGATAAGGGAAGAAAAATAATCTCAGAGAAGACCTTGGAAATTCCACTTAGGACTGTGGGATTTCAGTCTATGGAGTGTTATTGAACTAAATTGAAATGAAACCAGTAAATGAACGTCGTAATGTTACCAGACGTCGTAACATCTGAAATAAACGTCGTAATGTTACCCGACGTCGTAATGAAACCAATGATGTCGTAATGTCGTACGATGATATTGAAGGCCTGTAATGTTTCCCCGACTTACCCGTAACTATTCATGAAGCATGTGGGAGCACGAAATTAGCGTTTACTTCCGTTTGAAATTTAACTTCTACAATAAGCTTTTCACGTATTGTTTATATAACATAAATAAACAGAGCCCATTTTGCATTTTATTAAGATTTTTTTACGTTATCAAGAGTATTTATGTTAATCGTTGCTTTCTGTATGAATAATTGCATTTTTAAGGAGCCTTATGACTTGTATTTTTATTTCAGAGAGTCTCCCCATGTTAATAATCCTGGCGGGAGTCATAGGTGGCATAGTATTCATAGTATCCGTCACAATAGTTATTATACTGTGTCTAAGGCGGAAGTCCGTTATAAAAGGTAAGAAACTGAATATATCTTTTCTTCTTTTCTTTGCTTTCTCTATAGCCTGACAAGAGGCAAGGTAAGCGAAAAACTTCTAAATTTATATGTATATAAAAACTTTATCAATGAAGCATATCGAAATTTGCTTTACTGTACTCTTCATGATAAATTCTAATTAAATTATTTTATTACTTCTTAATTTTATGTTGTGTTAGAACATAGTATTTTATTAATTTTACTTTCATACTCTTCTTTAATAGTCATAAATAGGTTTTGATAACAGCAGTGAATAATATGCTCGAGTTCATTTATGTGATAAAACACTAAAGAATTTCTTCTTGCGCTATTTGCAGTTTTGTGAAATTTTCTTCGCTTTAGAAAATGAAATAATCATAAACTATGACTTGGTTTCTTATATAAATTTCGCTCACGATTCAGTTAAAAATCTGCTAGTATTTTTAAATCTGGGGTTTCTCTTTCGAATTAAAATCTATATATCAGCGTATTTTATTTTGAATTTACCGTAATTGTAATTTTGTTATATTTATATCCTTCTCGAATTCAGATTGGATATTTACTGTCACAAACTGTGAACACGTTTACAGTTTGACAATTCAGCAGTTTTTCCATAATTATAGTCGCAATTTCATAGTATTTAAGGGAATTGATATTATGTAGTTCTCTGATTCCTCAGTGTACTAATACTGTCCTTTTTGGCAAGTTTATTATCTACTGGATGCAAATATTATGACATTCCATAAATGAATATGATAAATAGAGGAATATGTCTTCAGCTGTGTAACATAACACGTTTCTTTTACTAAAAATTGTTTTAATATAGGAAAATAAGGATTCGTATTTTAATTGTTAATTATTAATGGATATCTTTGTAACACATTGCATACAGACTGTCTTTTTTTAAGCTGTAAATGTATTTTAAAAGCTGCTCTATATATCTATAATTATATTAATTAATTTCTTACATCATTTTTCGTTTTCTCCGTAGGTGATTTTATATTTTTATACTTCAAAAATATTTGCTTATCATAACAGAATAAGATTTGATAACGCTTCAAGAATTAATGTACATAATCCCTTCAGTGCAGCTCGCAGAACGTAGTAAATGTAATGTCGGTTGGCATACTCATTACACCTTGAGGTAAAGAGACCACACAAACAAGCTGACACGAAACCAAATTATTTCCATATATATAACAACTTTCGGTATTTTCCAATCAATACCTTTAGGCAGTTTCGAGTTACGAAGAAAGTCTTTCTTTGATGCAATGTTCTATAAACTTCGAGGTTCATTAGAGGCTTAAGCTAGCGCCAAAGTTCTTGAAAAATGCCTTTGCCCCGTGATTCCGTTTTCATCACATGCAATTTTTCATATATGCGTGTTTTTTATTTTGTTTTCTGGAAACGATAGATCGCCTAAATTTGAAAGCACCTCATATATTGTAAAAGTCCCTTGGATGCAGCGACCTGTCTTAATCTATCCTAACATAATAACCTACCTAGTGCTTTATAAATAATTCCTGACACTAGCGTAACGTGAGGATTTTTTCCCCTTAATGCGCAGGGAAATTCTTATCCTGGCATAGGGATTTTGGGAATCCATGTAGGCAATAAAATACTGCCTTACCAGAAATTGGATATCTAGCTGCTATGGAAGTGAATGAAGCGCATTTGTAAAACTCTGCCGTTGATCAAAAGTCATACATTACACAAGTATATTTACTTTTTTATTTTAATTAATGTAACCGAACCTGTTAAAAGAGTTACAGCTAGAGAAAGACGGGGGGACTGAATATCAATTAACGAGGTGGCAAACAGTATACAATTGAGTAATCGACGTACAGGGGAACGATTAATCATACCAATATTAATCATTTCTGTAATAAGCCTAGCTTTTCTGAGTTTGTTATTATTCTATTATTTTATTATTGTTAAGGAAAGAAAGCTGAGTGTAAACTGGTTTAATATTAAACTAAAAGTCAGATATATAACGAAAATATTCATCCGATAATCTTAAGAAAATAGCGTAATACACACGTTTATTGTCTGATGTTTAAACTAAAATAAATAAACTGATTTGCTTGCACGGTATTTGCTGGTTTAAATTAGAATAACTTGTAGAAATGCCAACTTTAAGTAATAGATATCACTATGCATTTCTACCTCTGAAGTACGAATGTAAAATTTGTCCTTTTGACATTTATTTAACGATCGCTGCGTGGTAATGCAGATTGGAAACGAATAATATGCAAATTATAAGCATTATTACATGCTAGGCAGAAAAAAAAATGAAAACACGATAAAACAGCTTTTTTTCCTGAATTGGATTCATTTGTTCCAAGTATAATCAGAACAAGATATAAATTGAATTATTTTGCATTATGTCAACAGAAAGCTAATGTTTCCTAATCTCCTTCGCAGAAAGTAAACAAACTTGATAAGATCAATTTTTTTTGTCTCATCTTCACGTATTAAAAAAAAATCAGTTACCTTAAGTTTTTAGACTTTCTTTATAAAGTTAAGCGAATGTTAACCTTCTTATTTTAACCTTTTTGTCAAGAAAATGCTTTTTGTCAAGAAAATGCTTTTTCTTTCAGAAAGTTAATTTGTATTCAGGAAGATATTTTGTATTTCGCAATTAGATTCAATGGGTTTGTTAGATTCTGTGCTAACGTAAGAAATTCCTAATTTCATAAACAGTTTGCGATTAATTCCTAGATTCTCATATTTCAGACCCCCCCCCCAAATCAACCTATAAAAAACCACTGCATTGTATCCAAAAATTATTTGTAATAGTAATTAAAACTCATAAATGCACAAGTATCCGTGATGCGCATTTGATTATAATAAATAATCGAACATTACTTTTAATTCCCCAAAATAGGGAAATGAACATTGGAGAGCTTGCCTGTAGCCAAGCTAATATAACTTAACCTTGTTTCACAATTTACTAGACATAATACTTTAAAATTATTAAACTAAATTATTATTACCTAGTATTCCTAATCAATTCATCGAATAAATCTAATTCTTAGTTCAATTTGTTTGAGATATAAAGTGAAACCTCTTGAAGTGGCCACCTTCCTGTCTGTGCTTATTTGTTAGAACATAAATAAGCATCGATACCAGCCGTCACTTCCCTAAGATAACCATCTGCAAAAAAGAGAAAAATCATCCAGAACTGCGCATACTCTTTTAGATAGAATTCACTGTATTCGAGCAATTTTAAATTGCTTTTAAAAATTCTAAACCGATATACTTCTTTTAATGAATCGCTTTCAATTTATGAATATTTATTTCAAGCTGTAATACAGAACAGTACATAGCGTACTACAGTTTGGAATGGCAAATCAGAATCAACATAACAATAATCTTAATTTAATTAAGTAAATACAGCACACAGCTTAAACTAAGATTAACGAGAAGGATATTATTCTTCCAACATATCAGTATGATCTTAGAGGAGTTCCTTCCATTTTTATTTCCTCAATTATATTAATTTGTGTTTACAATCGATGTCTGACTAGTGTACTGAGAATGGTAATAGAATATCATTCGACTAGTGTTATTTTCTACATTTCCGTTTTAGTATTAATTTGAATTATTTGGAGACAGGAACATTTGTAATATGTTAAGTAAGTTATGAAATGAAAGCAGTTAAGCCATTCTTTAATCACTTCTCCATCGCTCATCGTCTAATCTAACATTTTCAGAAGCGACCCCCTACGTTTTAAACTTCTAAAGTTGTCATTGATTTTTCTAACAAACGAGGGAATAATTCATAAAAAATCGATTTTCTGAAGAGAGACACTTGAGGATGTAGGGGAAAAAAGAATGTAATAAAAGTGGCTACAAGCTGCAAATTATCAGATAAAATTAAAACTGTAAGTGAACGACAAAATCTTCTTGAATTTCTGTTGTGATGCTTTACATTCGAAAGAAATTCAGCTATAACTAAATTCTATTCACTATTTTCTTCTTGTATTTTACATTTCCTTATTATCTTGTTAGAGATAATGCATTTTTTTTTTAAATTGTACGTTCGAATACACTGTGTTAGTTAGTCTATGCTGTTGCTTGGCAACTCATCGAAAACACCCACATCTAGTTCATATGTGCTCTTTCAAAAATGAATTTGTTTATAGTATACAGTCATAAATCTGAATTATGAAATATAACTGCATAATTACTAATTAAGTGTTATGGGATTTTATTTTATTATTTCAAATATTTATAGTTTCACACGTCAAAAAAACTTTTTAATGTCCTAAAATATTTATTTGCGTTAAATAGGTGATAAAAATACATTATTGTTCCTGTGAAACAAACTATTTTAAAAACCAGTTCCATTAAAATTAAATAAATCAAATATTACATAAAATCTGAATAATACCTGAATAATATCTGAATAATACCTGAATAATATCTGAATAATATCTGAATAGTAATGCATATAATCTGAATAATAATAATCTGAATGTTACTCATTTTTTTTCAAATGTTACATCGTCAGCGTGAAACGGACACAATTTCGTCACTAACCAAAAACATTGCATCTCTTCGAGATTTTAAAAATAAAAGATCCAACAAATTAAAAGTATCTTTCTTAACTGCATCTGAAATAAAACCTCCGCCTTTTCCACGCATTTTATATTTCCAACATTGATATTCAAAACCGCTTTATTTTAAAACATTAAAATGCGGCGAGTGTTGCATTTCAAATTTAATCATTTTCAGATGCTATAAATCATTTCAAACGATTTCAAATCTAGATTTTCATGCGTAGTTGTAATAACAATAAAATACTGCATCAGATAGTGAATTTTATTTGTTGAGACCTGCATCATTAAGTAATAGGCAAACTTTCGAAATAATATTTATTATTTATAAACGCTGGATTTTTTTCCCATTATACGAATATAAGGGGAAAATGGGAAATTTAGTTCTGTAATTTGTGGAAAATTCGCTTCTAGAAACTAAAAATATTGCATCTCTTC